ACAAATGCCTAATTAGAGTTTATGAATGATTCCGAACACAACTAGCATTTTCTCATTGCTGGGCGTTCTAGGGCATTCAATGTATAGGGGACCAGCAATGTCCTTTTACATTAGATCTCATTACATTTTGTATTGCAAAACTATAGATAGATACTGATAGCCAGATTTATAAGTATAAAAGCTATGTTTCTGGGCACATAAGTTTATATTGTAAACTAGCGGCCCGCCCTCGCTTCGCTTCGGTGTAGAGCTGAAGTGTAGGCTACAGTTTTTTCACCTTTGAGTTTTATATATATATAGATTAAAAACTTAGGTTTAATTTTTTTGTAAAATTATGCAGTACTTAATCCATATTTTTAAAGCAATTCTTTATGAAATTTTCCGCAAACAATAAAAAACTATTTTATTTTCAAACACGATAATCTTATATCCTTTTAAGCGTTTCAAATACACTTTTAATAAATTCACATAGTTATAAAACTTGAGGCACGCGATGGCCCAGGTGGTTAGCGCATTCAGCCTGCGATCGTGAAAGTTAAAGCAACTTTCGCAATGATCGTTCATTGGATGGGTGACCAAAAACTTATTATCATAATCATAATCAAAATCATTTATTCAGTTTAGGCTGTTACAAGCACATATGAATGTCTAGAGGCTACGCCATCGGTTCGTAAATCTACGGCGGGAGACATTGTACTGAGAAGAACCGGCAAGAAACGTCGCAAGGGCTGTTTTTTTCTCCCTGTTTTACATTTACAGAGTCGTCAAGTTGAAAAATGACTTCAGAGATGATTCATAAAGTCACCTTTCATTACATAATGTGAAATTATACATTAGTATAAATACAAACAGAGTTATTTATAATAGGTGTAATTAAACATTTACATCTTAAATATCAAAGTAGTTAGGGCAGACTCATCTCCGCTGGCAGCACCCGTCCACGAGCATGACGCATGAACCAGCCATCGCTTCGCTCAACCATATTTTAGGGAACGTAACGACCCGCCTCACACGACACGTTATCTCAAGCTCTTCTGTGCTTCGACGCCACGTTAGTCGTTGGTCCCGGCTGCATCTGCAGTCGTTAGCACCCACCAATCCGCACTGGTTCCGCGTGGTGGGTCACAGCCACCACAACCCAGTCTCCCTATTCCATTCATAGGATATGCTTGTGCCCCAGCAGCGGGGAATTGGGCTGATGATGATGAAATTAAAGAAATAGTTTAATATTTTTGTTGATGTAGGTGTCTACTTGTTCGTCGACATGTTTAATTTAATTTTAATAAAGTCATTGGGCTTTGGCTGATATAGTTAGGGCTGCCACCCGTCCGGGTTTCCCCGGATTTGTCCTAGATTACGGGGCGTCCGGGGAGCGTCCGGGCGGGGTTTTATTTGTAGTCCGGGTTTAAAAATTTACGGCAACGCATGAGTGGCCCTTGGTGCTGCAAGTGTCCATGGGCAGTAGTGACCACTTATTATGTGGTAGACCTTTTGCCTAGATCAACATAAAAAAGTTAATTTGTGACATATTTAACTGTTTTTTTATTGGTCTGTCCGGGTTCTGGGCTTCAAAATCCGGGGTTATCACGCGTCTTATCCTGGTTGCCACATTTTGGAGATGGCAGCCCTAGATATAGTTATAGACACATAATATTCATTACTTATGTGATCGAGAAACTATTTGAATTGGCACGCTGAGTGGGTTATATCTCTCATTGGAAGCTTCATAGTCTTAGTACCTACAATTCGCGTTTATTTATACTGCTCATGAGTGCAAATGGTGGAAACGCTGGCCGTATCGTTATCGTTTGCTTCTACCTACTGTTGTTTGCTTGTGCGCAACGAAATTAAAATCCCGCCGAAATTGGAGCTCTTGTGGTGGAAATTTTAAATATCTATCATCGATTTCTTTCCCTCATTAGTTTATATAAACTTTTCTAGTATATAATCAAAAATTAAATTGTCTCGCATGTTGGTAATAAGAACGAAGAATAGCAAGTTTTCTAAGTAGCTGTTGTATATCGTTGTGGCACACTTTAAAGGTTTACTTAACTCTAATTTTCAATCATTTTTAGTGATTTATTAGTTATCTTTGATTTGTGTAAATGTGTGCCGCCGAGCGTACCATAAATAACTTATCTGTGTAAGACGTAAAATAACACAAAATATGAAACGAAAACTATTTGTTTCACCATAATTTTACTCATGTGAGATGTTTATGACGAATTTTACCAGTAAAGTTATATTGATAGACGGATGTAGGTAATAGATTCTGTTAACTCCAACCGACTCATCGATTTCCAATAAGTAAATGATAACAATTCGACGTTCGTTCATAGTATTGAAGTAAATATGTTTACTAACATGATGCCAACGAGAAACTACAAATTTCATATTATAGGCGAAATATAGAAAACCCTTCGTTTTGTGGAAACGAAAGTTTATAAGAAAATTAGTTAAATCACAACAAATGTCTTTCAAGAAGAGGATAAGGTTCATTTTCGGGATTTTCCGATTAGAACCATATGTTTTTTCCAAATTTAAAAGCCCCCGGCATTAGTAATATGTTTAATGTTGTTTTCTTTCTAACTGGATGGTTTAAATGAAAGAAAAAAACCATATATAACAAGAATTACCGATCGAATTGAAGTGTTTCGCAGTTACAAAGTCAGTAAATTCGTTTAAACTAGTTAGATGGAACTCGACTTCATCGACTGCGAAGTTATACGTCCCGGATTCGGGTGTGGGTATAGGCGAAGCGGGAGCGGGTAAAACGGTAACTGATTTTTTTTTGTACTAGCAGGAATTTTCTAATTAGGTGATCACTAATATAGTAGAAAGTTCGCGCTAAGTTCGATGGATATGTATTAAATAATTGATGATGAATGGATTGATGGATTAAATGATAAATAGAATTTTCGCGCAAATCGTTCCGATTTTGCGAAAACGCGGATAATTTGATTATAGCGATGACATTGCCCCTTCAAGTCATAACTATCCGTAAATGGAATGCTCTGCTCGCCCACGTGTTCCCTCCCTCTTACAACCTGGGATCCTTTAAAAGAGGCGTGAAGAAGCAACATGCAAGCCGGCAGGGTGAGGATGGCTGGTGTCGCAGGTAGAACTGCTGTATCAGCTTTCTTAGCGTCTGGACTTCACCGTCACTTAACATTAAAAAAATCTATAAAAAAAATGGGTGCGTGTACTTATGTAGGCGCGTGAGAAGTTATCCTTCTTTGGCATCGTTTAAAATTAGTTTTTAATTGCATGCAAATAATTAATTACAATAAATTAATAAAAAGTCTGGAAAAGGACACAGTCAATAAAGTTCAGTTTTAATTTGAAAAAATAAATAAATAATCAAAATATTCAATTAAAATCGCTACTGAATATAATTTATTAGAACATATGTGATTTGCACTTGTATGAAACTCAAACACGTATTCCGAATATACAAACTAGAAACATGTGGATAAATATTATAAATATGAATACCTATAACTGTTACTTTATTACAAAAAAATAAAGATGTGGTTTTTGGTTCTACTACACCAATGGTCAAGAGATGGCACTGTAGTCTCCTGAATCGCGCTTTGGTTGAGTACTGTTTATAATTGAGAAGTTTTCATCTTGATCTTCACCAAATTGATATGGGACCATCGCGTCTAAAAGCTGATTTAAACAAAAAAGAATCATCACATCAGATATGCGTGAACAAAAATTTTTACAATGTTTTCGATTATCTAGACAATGACACTCGACATATTTCGTCAACTTATTATTTTTACTTTGTCACAATATGGCGCCTAATTGTTCCCACATTAAATTATGATTAATATAATGTCTTTAGTAGCACTCCCATGTCCCATCATTATGACGAATCGATTGGTGTATAAATCATCAAAATCGGTCCACGCGTTTGGTCTCTAGTATGCCACAAAAGAACAAACATACATATATAGACTGGTAAACACTATACCCTGTCTGCGTGTCGTGCTTCACGCTCTTGCACTGCGCAGTCGGGTAAAAAGGATACTGACGAATGATTATATATCTTTATATATATAATTCTTCTGTGAGTGTGTATGTCACTGAACTTCTCTTAAACGACTGGACCGATTTTGATGAAATTTTTTGTGTGTGTTCAAGGGGATCTGAGAATGGTTTAGATTCACAATTTTGTCCGCTGGACAACCCCTATTTTTTTAGGGCGGTACGAAGTTCGCTGGGTCAGCTAGTTTATATATATAGATGGAGCTTAAGAAGTTTCGTATGTATTAATAATGAAATCGCTCTTCTCTCTCTCTCTAGAGCTATCCTAACGTCAAGTGCTCTCCCCAGCGGGTAATAAATCATTGGATGCGCTGCGCTTGCGCCTAAGTTCTTGGCAGGTACACGCATTCAGAACACGCTGTATCAGTCGCGTACGCGTGAGATGATCATTGTGTACGAACAGGGGGCTCTTCTTAGAACGACTATTTTTAAACCCTCATAATTTATTTAGATAATAGGTTTTATTTATATAATACGTTTATTTATGTTAAAATTTTAATTATTTTCAAACTCGCAAACAAATCCGTTTTTCTGTACTATAAATATGTAAGCAGGGAATTGTTTACTGGTAAGTATAAAATAATATGACGGTTTCATAAACTTTAAAAGAAAATTTAGGTTGTCTGTTTCAGTTTTTAAGCATTTAACTGGTAGATGTTTAAAATTATAGAAAATTTTACTAGAAAAAATTCCACGCCTCGTCCAGCCCCGTCTGCTGCCTGGTCCGCGTGGAATTATTACTAGTAAAATTTTCTTTAATTTTTTAAAAAGAAAATTTTACTAGAAACATTTCCACGCCTCGTCCAGCCCCGTCTGCTGCCTAGTCCGCGTGGAATTATTTCTATTAAAAATTTTCTTTAAAATTTAGATTTTCATCTCTATTACATAAACATAAAATAAATACCTATACAATTTAATGAGATTTAATTAAAATAACATTCACCCACCTTTCTCCACACAGAAGAACACTTATTTTAAACTGTACTTATAATCACTACCGGTGAAACTTTTGTAGTTTGCCTATTGGTAATATTAGGACGGATGATAAACGAATTAATAAATCGCGGGAATAAAGTAAGATGGAGGGACACGCGACCGTTTCCTGCGCACACGCAGCGGATAACTATGCGGCATCAAGACTGCTTGACACAATAAAATCAAAGCATTATACACACTGACCGACCGGCACGACGCATATTTCGTAATAACCATACGAGTACGGGAGCGATTTGCGAGACATTCCCTTGGAGTTAATTTGGCAACAGGAGCATGCCAAATGCTCTTAATGCATACACATTTGACCGTTGTTTGTTCATAATATTATACTTAGGTATAATCGATATGCCTTTCTGGTATTACATCAGCCCCCCTAGCATTCTCATATCGACATTAACTGTCAAACTACTATGGAGTTTGACAGTTGAGTGTCGATAAATCGCTTTATCATATCGCGTTTTGTTAGTCATGCTAGGGCTGGAGTTGCATTTACGATAGGTTGGGTTTTGGATGTATTGTTTTCAAACAACAAACACGGTGAAACTTCAGATCCTGGGAATACGCCATACAGGGTATTTTAGATGGTTTTGAAAACGCTGAATTATGATGAAACTGTAACGATGATTCGTGATGACAATGTCTTCGCTGACGTTGTAATCATCATAATTGTAATCAATCAATTTGATTTTATAATCAATGCAGTAACTAAGTAGTGAGTCGCCAGATTTGACGTAAATGGAAAATGGATATAAAAATCATTAACTTGTCTCCCAGGATACTAATAAGCAGGGCTGAATTTAAGGCAGGGCCAGGTGATGCTGTGACTGGCCCAAGGGTACAAGGAATATATATAGGAAGGAAATAATAGAGACAAAAAAAACAAATCTCTACATTTCGACTTGCTCGATGCTTTGGATAGGTTACAGCGGCCCGCGATCCGCATCATGGGCGATGATGAGGTGACTAAACACCTCGAGTCTCTTCAATTACCCCGTGACATGGCGTCACTAAGCGCGTTCTATCGTCTGTGCCACAGCGAGTGTTCTGAGGAGGTTTTTTTTTCTCTCATATTCCACCTTCCCCTTTCCTTCAGCAGAAGACCACGCGCGCTGACCTACTTTGTCACCGTCTAACTGTGGCCACAATTCCAACACGTAAAAAGAAATTTAGTGTCTCATTTCTTTGTCGTACTATCCGTAAATGGAATGCTCTGCCCGCTCACGTGTTCCCTCCCTCTTACAACCTGGGATCCTTTAAAAGAGGCGTGAAGAAGCAACATGCAGGTCGGCAGGGTGAGGATGGCTGGTGTGGCAGGTAGAACTGCTGTATCAGCTATCTTCGCGTCTGAACTTCACCTTCACATAACATCAGGTGGGTTGCAGTCATTTGTCGGACCTACCTATAAATAAATAGAAAAAACGACGGGTTGCACCACGGGAGTGCCGGCAGAAGTGAAAACTTGAATATTAACGTTGTGCATTTTTGATATTTTGGAATGGTTAGGGAATAATTTTATCAGTATAAAAGTACTATCATGTATGTGGTGGTGGAATACAATATTTATTTATTGCGTTCTCGTTCACAAACATGACAATTTATATTACATTAAAAAAGTTTATCTGTCAGAAAAATCAACTTACATGAAGCACTTTTAAGCGCACTTAGCGACATTTATTGTAAATAAATCAACTTACATAAATCACATTTATGCACACCTAGCGATATCTATAGTAAAAAATGCATTTTCTTCGCAATAAAGCTGCCACGTGGACGTCCTAGATAGAGACTTATTATTATAATACGGTAAAATAATATATTACTATGTTTCGTCCAATATATTGAAAGTCAACAACCTTTCCAATTTTATTGTGTGTCATTTTGCGATCAGCCCACGTGTTTAACCTGACGCGAGTTTAACATTTTTTACCCATAAAAAAAAAGTGTACAACGCCGCTAAAGAAGTTTTCACTTCAAAAAAATATCGAAAGGTCACCAACCATGGAGGTGGGGTGCAAAAGGCTTACAATTAAAGAGGCTAATGCGGTCTTTGATATTATGTTGGATTTATAAGGAGACTGTTTGATTCCAGAAGCAGTGTTATTTGAAAAAGCCTTGCACTATTAATATTATTGCACTATTATTATTATTTTAATTAAAAAAATGCCGAATAATGCAATAAACAATGACTCCCAGATCAGTGTTTATGGCATTATATAGTTACGGAACGGTTATCCGTTACGGAAACATGAAAATTACTCTGAATTTAAAAATTTTTGCTTGTTTATTTTAAATCCCTATTTTATTACTTACTTACTATATGCTACTAAATAGATAGCCCCACATACGATTTTGCACTTATTCAATAGATTAGGGTGCAAAATTCTCCTAAAGTTTCTCATCGGGTCCTTAAAAGAATAGATCTGCTATAATTCACATGATTATTATGAAGTTTAAACAATGGGAACATTAAGATTTTCTTTTACCTAAAAATCACCTTGTATTAGACAGAGTTCGAACCTGCACCTTCCGTTCGCAAATTCCGTATTTATTTACACAGAATTAAGTTTTTCTTTAGTGTTTTTTTTAACACACACCAATTAGCCTAGCCCCAAAGTAAGCACTGTAAGGCTTGTGTTATGGGATACTAGGGTAACGGATAGAATACATATACTGTACATATATAAGTATATTTATTTAGAAATACATATTAAACATCCATTACTGGAGTACAAAGCACGTATTCATCACACAAACATCTGCCCCCACCGGGATTCGAACCCGGGACCTCTCGAGTCGGCGACACCATGAAACCCGACGTACAAACCACTCGGCCACGGAGGTCGTCGTATGTATACGAAACTGACACATTGGTCTATGTTGTCCGAACAATAAACTATTTGATTTGATTTGAATACCAAATGTATGAATAGAGTTAGCCAGAACCATAGGTTGACTAAGAAATTATGCAAGAGACAATTTATAGGACGATTATCTCTCTCAGACCGAAATAAATGATCTGTCAGCCGGGATACAGGAGGAATTGTAAACAAAGGAGGGTCATTAAAATGGCTATTTTGGAACGTCTGACGAGCACTATACCAACTAGCCACTACTAGATACCGGTGGTGCAAGATGTAAACTGTCGCGAGAAAACTTAAGAGAACGGGTTTTCCCCTGGAATGAAAATGACTCTAAATTTAAAGTTTTTGCTTGTTTATTTTAAATCCCTATTTTATTACTTACTTACTATAAGCTAGTAAATAGATAGCCCCACATACCATTTGGCACTTATTCAATAGATTAGTCTCCTTAAAAGGATAGATCTGATATAATTCACATGATTATTATGACGTTTAAACAATGGGAACATTAAGATTTTCTTTTAAGCGCACGTCTGGGGAAGTAACTTCCACCTTACAGAAGATCACAGTAAAATAACACTAGCTTTTGATGGTGTTGTTTTTCTAATGGTGAGTAAGTTTCCAGGACTCCACGGGGTAGGCAACAGTGTGAGCAGACCCCTCTTTCCCAGTGGACACTTTGGGCAAGTGCCCAGGGCCCCGCGATCGATAGGAGCCCCCTCAGATCAAATACAAAGTCCCTTCCTGTCAGATCACCAAACGATAACCAATATTAATTACCAAAAAACTTATATAATTCGATGAAATGGAACCTGAGTTACTGACTACAATACCAAGTTACAAGCTTTTATAAGATAAGCGAAGCTATTCTACTCGCGCCCAAAAATTTGGCTTTCCGACTTCAGCATGCTTAGATAAATTTAAATACACATATAATGGTATACTAAGCACATACACATTTTAAAGAAAAATCATCAGTAGTACAGTCATCAGTATGACTCGCTCCATTTCAAGTCAAAATCCACATCAAAGTCACTGGGGCCCCATTATCCTAATATGCCCAGGGCACAGCGGTGACACTCTCTGTACGTGAGAGTTCCAGCGTCAGTGACCTTGAGCAGGAGCGTGTATGCGCTAGGGTTGAACTTGGAATTTAGACTTGTGCCAATGAATATTTATGCATAGTAAGTTATTAAATGTAAACTGATTCAAGGATACTGGGGTAAATAATGAAGGAAAGGTTTGATTTTATAATCAATTTTTAATCATTTAATGTAGGTACTATAACCAATTGCTAACTTTTATATATTTTCTCCTTTTTCGATTCGTTTTATAATTCTTATTATTATCTAAATAATAATAAGATTGCGTAGCGTAGTCAGTCTGTGCGTGCAATGCAGTGCAACGCTATTATTTTACTATTTCGCAACTGCCATGCCTTCGGTGGAGGCAGTCGGCGACTGCCCTCTCCACGCCCCGCGCGCCGCGCAACGCCCCCGCGCACCTCCAGACCCACACATAGCCGCGGGCGATTTTACGAGCACACATGCATAAGTGTCGCTTCTTTTCGCGTAGTGTATATATTCTGTGCCCAGGGCCTCCAATAGGTTAAAGACGGCCCTGGGTGTGAGTGAAATTATTTGGTTAGAGGTCTGGGTAGGCAACGGTACGCAAGCGTCTGTAGGCTATGGTGGCCGCTTACCATCAGGCGGGTTGTATGCCAGTTTGCCTTGCCAATCTCGTAAAAAAACGACGGGTTGCACTCCGGGAGTGCCGGCAGAAGTGAAAACTTGAATATTAACGTTGTGCATTTTTGATATTTTGGAATGGTTACGGAATAATTTTGCACGAATTGCTTCAATTATCAGTATGAAAGTACTATCATGTAAGTGGTAGAATAAAATATTTATTTATTGCGCTATCGTACACAAACATGACAATTTATATTACATTAAAAAAGTTTATATTAATAATTATTAATGTCTCTCAGAAAAATCAACTTACATGAATCACATTTAAGCGCACTTAGCGACATCTATTGTAAAGAAATCAACTTACATGAATCACATTAAAGCGCACCTAGCGACATCTATTGTAAAAAAATGCATTTTCTTCGCAATAAAGCTGCCACGTGGACATCCTACATAGAGACTTATTATTATAATACGATAAAATAAAATATTACTATGTTTCGTCCAATATATTGAAAGTCAACTACCTTTCCAATTTTATTGTGTGTCATGATGCGATCAGTCCACGTGTTTAACCTGACGCGAGTTTAACATTTTTTACTTATACAAAAAAAAAACTGTACAACGCCGCTAAAGAAGGAAGTGTTCACTTCAAAAATGTCTTTTCTATTTGAAGACCTCTGTGGTAACGAGGCGTTTACACCTTTTTTCAAGGTGTCGCCTACTGTGAGGGCCTAGATTTGAATCCGGGTAAGGGAAATGTTTGCATATTGAATATGAGCATTTGATCCTGAGTCGTGGTTATTTATATTTATTTCTATGAATATACAATTTCACGAGAGGGTTTTTCGTCTCGTGGGCAAA